TATCCACAGCAAGTCAGTCATGGTAATCGATCGGTAATAATTTGAAATCAAGTTATCCGTTAATTTCTTTCAACAAAATGAAATAGAGAGCGAACGATTTTAGGCCAGTCAAAATCCAAAACGGATTAACTACCTTCATCGACAACTTCACTTGCTCTCATTAACGGATGGCCAGACCTCCTCAACTTACACCCTCCATGAAATACAGTTAAAGAATTCTTTGTCTTTATTATGAACTTCCTACGGTGCTCAATTTTGAAAATTCCACAAAAAAAACATCAAAAGTGAGTACGCAAACTTCTACCACAGGACCAAAGTAAAAACAAACTCACAATGTATCTTTTAGTTTACAGGAGAGTAACTGTTTGACACGATTCATCTGTTAAAGATGCCTGCATAGACGGCAGTAAAACTGTTCAGATTAGAGAAGGGCAGACCGAGCCATGATCATGATTTTCCATGTGAAAGCGATTCGGCTACAGCAACTGCACGCTGCGCTATTTCACGTCAAACCCCAGTTTCACTGTTCGTTGTCAATTAAATTCGCTGTATGAGGGCGGAAAGAATTTCAAAACAGTCGTCTAACGAAAAGCTGGTAACTTACCTGTTACCTGACAGTTCGCATGTTTTCAAACAAATCTTAAAGAAGAAGCATGATACTCTCACTACAGCATCAGACAGAACGAAGACCGCATGGGGACCAGTAGGCGAGTATGCAATACAGATGAACAAGATAGTCAGGCATGTACTGCAAGAGGTGTTGTTCCTTGTTATGCTACAGTACCTAGTGCTATCGAGCAAGTGTTGAAAAGCTGAGAATGCTGCGAACATCGTACACAATGAACTTTCTGCATATGCAAATGGTTCAAAGTGATGACTATAACAAAACGTGGTGGGGCAGTGGGTTGTGCTTCTTTGCGCCGGGTTTGCTTCCAATGTCCGGTTCGGTAAAATTTTCTTAACTGCTAATCTCCTACAACAAGGAATTCACTCCACTGTGCTTTGGTACAACCGGTTGAGAAATTGTCAGCAAGTCGTTGAATAACTGGGACGGTTTGGTACTTTGATTTAGCCATTCCAAAGCGTGACCTTTCCAGCTACAATTTGCCTTAACTCACCTGATGGCTGACTCAAAATCAGGGGAGGAGGAACCCGTAAATAAAATAACAAGCAACAACAGTTTGCGAGCATAAGAGAGCAAAATAGACTTAAAAGGATTCGGAAGGATAAACAAACTTTCTTCAGAGAAAATGCAAAAGGGAGATGATGACCTGAAGCATCGTTCATGATAAGTAAAAGACGGCTGCTACTGCGGATAAAATGTTATGGGATAAACCTATCACTACAAGTGCTCAAATATCATGGCCTGGTCTGCTTAAGGCAACAAGGAAAAATACAGTAAACTGTGAAATTTTATCTTTGAGGAGTTATTTATCTATCAACATAGTCCGGCACAGGAACCAACTAATATTTCGATGTTAATTTTTTCGTTCTGCTTTCCCGACTAGTAGAAAGATTTTTCTGTCCAGCAAGTTTGACATGCACAGACAATGAAAAATACCAATCCCAATCCTTGCCAGATCATGTTAATTGCTAACCTAGTGCCTGTTCTACTTAATGCGGCGTTTTGCTTAGCTATCGATGACGAGCAAGCTCCGAAAGGTTTGTCTTCGCAAAGAGATGTCGAAAAGAACTAGACAAACTACTCATTGCGAACATGGACTTTTCCTAACCTTTCACACTGACAACTTGATATTTTGTCCATAGCAGATCGACAAATTCCGGCTTTTCAGTGGAAAGATGATGGTTCAAATCTTGGCCTGGTACATTGCCTTGCATCCTTGCGAGGTAAAAAATCGCCGCACTACGTGGAAAGGAAACATGAAACTAAAAGTTGCAGTGACCACCTAGCTTTGGCTTGACCGTCATTCAAATGACGCAGAAAAATGGAAATAAAAGCCATGCCATAACATCTTAAAAGAAGGGTGCCACACATATTGCCTTTCACAGCATAGAAGTGAAATGAAAAGTGGAAACTTTCTTTCTGTTCTATCCAACTGTTCTTTCCTAACGGAAAAGTTCGCAAAGCCCTGCATTTTAACCGCGATCATAAGCCACAACTGTGGCAACGAAAAGAAACAAAAAAATCTTCATTTGAAAAAGGCGTAGGGAGTTTGGAAGATAAGAACAGTAACTTTGAATAGCATAATTCAGTGATAAACACAGCAAGCGATGACGTTTCCTTTCACACCCATGAGCATTTTCAACTACTAGATTGACTGTTTACAACTGCAACGCAGACCAAGAAGGCCTTCGCTCAACTGTTCAGAATACCGTAAAAAGCACTTAATTGCTAAAGATTAAAAATGCGTCGAATCGAGAAAAAACGGACTGCTAAACGCGACAACTACTAAAGTAGTAGAAACACTACGCACGCCCCACGGAACGACAGTCTAAGGATCAGCAGTTGGAACCTAAATCGCAAACGCTGCGAAATTGGGGTTTCGTGTCATCAGGTCATCGGCCAGAAATGGTAAAAAGGATACTGACTTCGGTAATAGTCAACTGATCTTTGAGAAACTGACAGCTACTTTCCACTTCTTCCAATCGCTTGTTGCACGAGCATAGTTCTTTCTTCAAAAATTCCCTCGCCTGATCAGGCGAATATTCGACCATGACGTTCGCCTGAAAACACTCTGTTTCAATATAATTGACTTCGAGAGACAATAATACAACAACAAGTTGCCCTGGACAGAGCACATGAAGAACAAGAGAATATGCAAACAAACAGCAGGAACACTTAACGTGATGACAGATCAAATTACATATGAGGTATGAGTTGTCAGGGAATCGACGCATACTCACATTTAGGAATCAATACACTTCTGACCATAAAGGGTAGAACCGATCGTTTGCAATCTTCTGTAAGACAGACAACAGGGCTGAACTGGTTTTTAGTTGAGTGTAGCTTATACCGGCGCGCAGTTAATGCATCCTACATTGAACGCTTTAGATCGTCCAATATTTATACGCCAAGTGAAGCCGCCGATTCAATTACTTTTCTAGTGATAACATCCGTTTCTTTCTTAGGGTCTAGACAACCAAGCAAGGCGTTTATTTTGATAGCTCTCCGCCACAAGGACTAGTCCTTCTGAGTGAAGTTAAGGAAGTCCACTGGTGTCGCATACAGTGGTAGAGATCGTACGCATGCCTTGGTGAAAGATTGCACAGCCTATGGCGGAACCTGAACTTGTCTCAACCACCACAAGAACTAGACAGCTTTGCGCACATTCTGATTAACGCTTCCAACGCGTTTTCTTCACTGCATGCTGTCCTTCAGGATGACTCCGGGGTACTTTATTTCTGATTTCCTGCATAACACCTCATTACTCACGACTACTAGAACTTCACCTACGTTTAAAACATGTAAGTGACGAAACACGACATAATTTGATTAATATGGATTCAACTTAAGTCCGGCTGTTTTCGCCCAACTACGAACATGTTATTTTTACTGGATGCTATTTTTGAAACATGTTGTGTCTCAATAATTCTGGACGGGTGCGAGTAGAGGTGTCAGCATCGTTTTTATACAGGTGGCTCCCACTTGGCCTTTGCAGCTGCAGGTAAGGAAGACAGACAATGCAGACGACAACACTGAACCTTGCGGCAATCAAAATTTACAAGGTATCCAACTAGACTTGAATCACTATGTTGGACGCAGTGTGCAATGCCGCCGAAATACGTCATAGCATTGTAACAAACCGAGGGCTGACTCCGACTCCATCAAACTTTGCTTCAAATAAATCCGTAGAATTGTGTTGTACACCAAGCTAAAGTCCATAAACTTCGATCGCCTTATCATACGGCCTTTAGTTAAATCGCTGACACTGAATTTAACTAGAGTGGTCAGAAAGAAAACCATGCCTCGAACCCGAGTAAAGTCAAACTGCAAAGGGTCAGCATACGCAGGGTGGTCGACTGGTTTAAAACCATACAAAATACAAAAAGCGCGAAACCAACTGGGCGCCCAGCGAAAGAACGTAAGTTGGAATGACACATGATGGACGCTGTGCTTCGACCTGTCACAGACGTTCTAAAAAACAGTTGGCAGGTGATATGATTTTTATCGAAGAACACAGCGATTTCGCTGATTCAAAGTAACAGTAATCGGTCATCGGCTACTTGCCAAAACGGCACAGGAACATTAGAAGTGTACTAATCTACCTTATTTTACACAATTATCGGTTCTGGACTCAACGCCGGTCGCAAACTTATAATCTTGCATCATAAATCTGTCGTATTAACTGACCTACCGCGGGTTTAATCTTTTAGTTCATTTCGTTAATATCTTAAAATATCTAACTTCTTCGATTCATTTCCGTAATCATTTAAATAGGGCGACATACTTCAACCCCAACATAGGACAGGACATTTGTAGAAGGGATATAGAGTAGAAAAACAAAATCAGGTTTTCTTTTCTGTATTGTATTTTATAATTTCTGTGTAAAAACCGTCAGTGCCAAACATTTGCTAGTCGAAATACTGTTACAAAACTTGATAAAACACTGTGAAACGCCATGCTGATCAAGATATACTAACTAATTACTTTAATTTTCATGTACAGCGATGTTTCTAACGAATCTGCTCAAACAACGCCATGTAAGGATAGTGGATTTCTTACTCAGATGTAAGGCTTAATTTGTGAGCGATATCCAAAGAAATTTTCTGTTTGTTGTGTACTTGCAGCTCTGTTTACGTGCTATATGGGGCGCCTGAAGGAGAATCGAACTTTACCGCAAACGTCAGAAATTTTGTGAAAAACCTAACCCTGCGCAGTAACGCCTTTATCCTGAAAAAGATTTTTCTCACAAGGAGAAAATATATCAGAGTAACGAAAATACAGAAGATGCTTCATACTGGGAAGGCAAAGCTGCACGATCTTGTTTCAAGCTGGTTAATGCAAAGTTCAATAGTGCCACAGCGACAGGAAAACTCATCGAAACTCAGCAAATAACGCAGCGCTGTGTGCAAATAACTTGATCAAACTTGAAACTTATGTTCTTCGTCAAAATTCTCACTAGAGACACGACGTCTGTTGGATACAATTTTCTGAATGACAGCTAATCGTTGCCCCATTCCATTTTGTAACCTAGTGTCATGAAGCAGTGGCGTACTGAATACAGTTTGACTATGAAATTCAGAAATGCAAGGTTCAAGTTCCAACAGGATGCAAAATCTTCTCATCTGCCAATTTCCTTGAGCAAAAGATTCACTACACTGAATTTAAGTAAACACCGGAGAAACGGATGGCAGGTCCTTGACCAGTGAACAACATGGACAGCGTGGTGTGATTTTACCACAGCTTAAGAGACTCATAGTCATGCTGTCAAAGGGTACAGTTTACGGCTACCATTCGCCTCGATTCTCCTTACAACTGACTCATAATCAGCACATGGTTCAAACCATAAATTAAGTAAGAGACTTGACGCTATCATTAAGTACGAGCAAGCCTACAGATCACTTGAATACTGCTCGTGAAGATCTTAACCAGTCTTCTAAATATTTATCATCTAATCACTGCGATACCTTAAATGGCACTGATATGAATTTGGTCTCGGCTTTTGCCGCGAGCACAGATACGTAATGTCACTAGCCAAAGGGAATATTACAGGTTTACGCGACTTTGTCAGAAAATTGTGCTGAAGTATACTCATGAGCTGTGAGGGCAATATGTCAGTCAATGTGCGGAGGACCTCCTTTTTATTACCAACCTAACATAAACTTCTTCGAACCTAGTGCTGAACTTCAGAAAGCAGCTAGTATTTTTTCTTTGTAAACAAACAGTTGAATTCTTTAGATGCTTTACTGCTTTCCGTCGGTATTCATCTTCGTATATGACCAACTATTTAGCTACTTCGTCAGCGAAGAGAATAACGAACTTTCTCCTGAACTGCGTTACTTCGATTTTAAGACAATGTGGTGAAAAGTTCGTCAGAAATTCATATTGTTTTGGCATCACGACAGCACATTCAGTTGTTGACATCGAAAAAAGTCTTTGCGTGCTCAAAATGACGTTACATTAAAGCATCGGGCGATTTTTAAAGCAGTTATCGTTACTGATTTTGTTCTCAGCAGAAAGACTAACGCCTTTAAAAAATCTCCATTTTTAACGTGTCGTCATTCAGAATATGAATTTTTTTCGAATGCCAGTACTTGACTGTGCTACTGTAGCGCGAAAAAGAGGTATCTGCACAGTTATTCTTACTATTCATAGTATTTATTTTATTTTTATGCCCACACCTCAAATAGGTTCTGCACTAAATAGGCTCCTTTATGAGTAATTGCATGATGTGTCACCGGAAGCGCAGAGGCACAATACCGGAAATAAGCGGCCGACCCCCAAAGAGACATCACGACTCCAGAAAAGCAAAAGCGAATAACTTACGCCCAGCCACAGGCAGATGCTGCTACAGGGCAGAATCGTCGATTTCACATAGCACTGGTCGGCGAGCATAAAGCGAGTTTCGATGGGCAGGTTCTGCTTCTAAATACGAAACAACAGATAGACGGCAATTAACTGGACGATGATGACCTCAAGTACGTTGAAGTTCGACTAACTGACAATATGCGTGGTAAACGTACCTTATGATTATGAACGACGTCGACCAGCTGGCCCGAACTTACGAGATCATCGATTTTGTCGCGAAGGCTGTCGAAAGAAAACAACTCAAGATGAATGAGTGCAACGATGTGACGCTACGAAAAGTACCGCAACTTTTTCTGGTAGATGCTTTCCTCAATCAGTTTGTACCGCTGATGCATGTCTTCAAGCTTCGCCATCGCCTTTTCGGTACCATCAGTGCCGTGCATCGCCATATACTGATCGACGTCCGCCTAAATCAAGAAACGCATAAATCAAACTTCATTTTAAACCGATAGAGACTCAAGGCTGTCGAGTGTGATGGCAGGGCAGCAATGATAACCATTATTACAAGAAATTCTGACTCGGCGGTAACTCTTAGTTAAATACTTCAGAGACTTAACATTGAGCAAATCAAATTTTCTCAAAGAAACTTAAGCACAACTCTTTAATGCAGCGCAAAACAGCACTACAAAAACACAATCTCGTTTGATATCATTTGAACACATAAAAAATACAAACGCTTTATTAATAAATTAAACCTTGAAATTATGCACGCGATATAAGAATCATACAACGACAAATACTTGAAAGCATACTTAGAGGACTTCAGAAAGTTATGGCAAGCTTTCAAGAGCTAAGATGAAGCTACACCGAAATAACTCTTAAGGCTTCCTTTAACAAGTAAAAAAATGAAACAAAACAGAGATTTTAAAGATCAGCATCAATTTCATGGGTATTGCAACTATTAATTGACGTGTTTTAGATGAGTGAGAGCAGAAGATGAAGCTGAAGTTTCGCGATTTCTTGAAGGAAGAAGGCGAGGTATAATGCCGCAGAACCGAGTACAGTGACATGCACCTACAGTATTTGTGTAGATTCACATTCACAAGCACAGTATTTGTGTAAACCAAAATGTTTAAAATAATAACATTACTCTCCGGTTAAAAAGCTTTATCAGATGTGCCTCCAGCGCGCATTTTGCTTCAGCGCAGCATCGAGTTGGCATGCGGACGTGGGTTAGCAGACCTTAGTCGCTTGTGTGCTCATAATTCTGCATATATGTTGTTTGAGCCACAACCTCGAGTATGCGTGAAAATGTACCTCGTTCCTACTCTACTAAGTGAAGTGGTGTCTGCGTCCTATGCGCTTCTGGCGATTAAATAACATGAAGCCGTGGCCTGCTTAAATGTCCTCCCCCCAGACGATTAGGAACAATGGGACCACGCAGTGTTGCGGTATAACTCGGTGCAATGACTCCATGCATCTTACATTAGAGTACAACAGGTCCAAAGTAAGAAAATTTTAATCAGACGAATGCGTCTGTAATCGACAAGGATCAGTCAAAGCATCGTCTTTTGATTTTGGCAACGAAACACTTACACACGACACTGTTCCACGACGACGGACATAATAGATATTGCCATCCAATTTGAAAATAAGTATAGTGCATTTCAGGTAGCACAATCAAGTACAATCACACATTAAAAACATCTCCAACAAACACAACAGGATCAGAGGTACAAAACAACTCTGGATGCGATCACCGCTGGGACTTTGGGATCATGGATGCAAATGGTAATGTTGCATATTAGGCTTGGATTCATAAAAACGCTTAAGAAACTGTGCATATCAGATATATTAAGTGCTCACTGGCAGATTTATAACGACCAGAGGAATTTGAGCAGCAGCAATCAATTTTCAGATAACTGAAAAACGGGAAATTTCAACGAAGAGAAGTCTGAAAATGAAGAAAAAGATGAAGATCTGCCAGACGAGATTTACGACAGTGATTACGCCGGTGCTGCCGATGACCCGCATGAAGAGGAGGTGCGTACGGCAGTACCGTGCAAATACGTATATATGTACAAAACTGGACATTTTTGTACAGAACATTTACCTCAATAAAAGGTACCTTAAAATGTGCCACTGACTTTACAATGTTGTGTTCTTGCATGTATGAAGCGCACTGCTGCCTGTCATATCAGAATTAAGATCTGATGATGCAACTGCGTTTATAGCGAAAAGCGCGGGCAATAAAC